CTAGAGCGCCAAAAGTTACATAGTGCTGCTTTAATGTTTAAAGCACATACATGCAAAACACTTGCAGTTACAAAAGCATTGTGCCAACACTCTCTGGTATCTTCATTGCATGCTACTCACTACAATGTGATTTAACTGCATAGGCAGCATTGTGCAGTACAAAGCATAAAATCAACAATAGAGAAACTTGCATAAAATGATCACATAGGTCGAATGAGGTTAATAGGATATTGGGTTATGAGGGACATTTTTGCTCCATCTAGTCTACGTAAACATATTACTATATTCTAACTGCATGGGTTGCCTCTGACTGAGATCACATGGTTTCATGGGTCTAATATCACTGAGACAGGAACCCAGAGAAAACTAGCAAGGTTAATGTTAGGGACATAATGTTTCTTATTTCTGATTATGCATGTACATATGTCTGTAATAAAATACAAATTCAGCAAAAAGTGGGAGAGCAAGTTTTGGCTATTTTGAGACTGTCATCTAAATGTTTCAAATGAATAAGAATCTAGGTTCTCTCATAGTTATTCAATGCTAGCATTCATAAAGTGAAGCTTTATATTATTTATGTATTTCCTATTGTTATATTATTATTCCTAGGCACTACAATAGCATAGTTATCGATACACATACTACAGTGGGCTTGGTGATATAATGTCATTTTACTGTCCTTTTTTCTCCTCTCTCACTCGTTTACTTTGTTATTCATTCATGCTTTCACTTTTGGTCAAACAGGCTTCAACTGCATACATTGCAGTGATAGAAGCTTCTCTGAAAGAGTGTCCCAGATTTCAAAATAAACTGTAGATTATAAAATATGTTCCTTTATTTAAGTGTGCGGATTGCACTAATTCATCCTAGAATTATGTGCCATGAAAAACACAAATTCTCTTGAATTGGTTTGTACGTGGCACAATCTTTTTCCTTTACATATTAGCCAGGAGCAGGAAATTATCCAATTGTTTGGACAGAGAGCAAGTTTCAAAGGGCCAAAAACAGCTAATCAAACAGAGAGGGGAACCTGAAACTTCAGCAGATTTTCAAAAACGTAATGTCTAATGTTTTCTCATACAGTTTCATTAATAAAAGAGGGTCATGTTAAATGATGTCAGTGGTAATTTCTAATTTCTGGTCTTCTACCAGCGGAGTTCAAACCAAAGTCACAGTCTATAGAATTTTAGACCACTAGGGGGCAGCATACAACTGAATGTAAAATACAACACCGCAGAAAACAACAAATCTCTTTCAGAGTTTGTTTGCTGCTTTAAGACTGCAAATTCAGTGGTCACAATTGTGTCACTATTTATGACACAATTAACTAAGGTTCAGTCAGTGTTTAATACCCTGTACTTTACATATGTGTTAGTATGTTAGTCAGCACATCAAAATAAGTGTATTGACATTATAATAAAGTGCACTTTTCACCCTACTTTATGTTCTTTTCTCTCTCTCTCTCTCTCTCTCTCTCTCTCTCTCTCTCTCTCTCTCTCTCTC